ATATGCAAATTAAGATATCATAAGCACAAATGGCATTTAAATTTTTTTGGATATGCATCATTGTAAAATGGTAGCTTCATTCATATTTTGTTTTTGAACAAAAAAAAGCATTAAAATTTGCAATTATGGATTATCTTTGTTTTTGATGCTAAGGGAACGAAAATGTGCATTTTAATACTCTATATTTGCCAAGTTTACACAACTCATGCTATGTGATTCCCTAGCTAATTTTTGATAAAGGCAAAATTTTAGATCATTCACTTTATAATTTTTTTTGGCACTATAGCTATATTTTACAAAAGTGTTAAGTTTTGCCCCCAAAGTGAATCAAATTGGATATTTTTTCTAAATGTCCATATTCTCTAGAAGAGAATACAGAAATAAAACTTTTCTAATGTATTTACCATTTTCCAAAAGTAAAATGGCCTAATGTTTTTTTAAAATATATTGTTCAATGCATTCTCTCCTTATGCAATGGTAATATATTTTGATGTGATATACTAAGTTGCAATAAAATTTGTGTGACCAATATATGTAATTGCATGTATATGTGGTTTGAGATTACAAAATAGTGTTTGAGAATCTAGTTCCTCTAAAGTGGTAGTGTAAAAAAAACCATATATACTCCATATTTGGTTACATTTTTTTCATTGTTATAAAAGATTTTTTTTGAAAAAATCATGCTATATATTCATTCCTTGAAGTGAGTGAAAAAAATGATTGACATGCATGAATATGATAGCCTATCACAACTATTGGGGTTATACATATGGACTCATCAAAGTCACTATTATGGTCACATAGAATTACATTTTTTTTAAAAACAAAACATTGATTATTTGGATCTAAATATTCCTGAAGAATATTGAATTCTGAAAAGAAACCATTAAGATGTATAATCTCCTAAATTAAATAAGAGTCATCATGTTCATCAAACACAATATATGGGATTATGGGTATATGAGATACCTAAGGTCTTATAATATTTAATTACCACCTGAAGTGGCTTATTTTTAGTTAAAAAAAATCTCATTATACAGACACGTTTTGATATTTCAAGACCTTTGTTCTAATCTATATATGATTCCTCATCAATATTCCTGAAGAATGATGTAGTGAATATATTATAATCAAAGGAGTGATTATACATATTATATTTTTTTTAGATGAAAGAGATTCTTTTCTCTTGTAATTAAAGAAATTAGTGTTCATATAATTTTCTTGTTATACAAAACTTATAGATAGATCGAGAAGAGCATTGCAGAATAAGAGCTGCATAATAGAAATAATAAAAGTCTCATAAATACTGAATATTTTGAGATGATAGTTATTGTCCTGCATTGACGAATATTTTATTGGGTATAGACAAATTCTTATTGTTTAAGGTGTCTCTGTTAATGTTTAAAATACCAGTAGAAATGAATATTACATGACACTTGATCGAGATTTGTTTTCACGTAAACTAGAAGTTTACAGAACCAATTTTATTTTAAACATAACCAATTAAATTATCACAATTTAGTTTGTGATGTGAAAAAAATTATTAAAAACTCAAGTGAGTACTATCTGAAGGACTAGAAGTTTCTGTTATTATTAAAACCAGAAGATCCTAGAGTCTTGTTCTCATTAGAAGATTTTTATGAAATTATTACTAATGAAACTTGAGATTCATTTCATACATATTTAGAAATTGTTCAAGGATAATTGATTGGGCCCATCAACTATTCATGATGACAATTTATATGTTTTATATAATGCATCGTTATATTTGTCATATTTGTTGACAATTAACTCGTAACCCGAAGTTTATGATATTTGTCCATATATTATATTATGGACACAATTTATAGGTTATGTTGAACATCATTAGTCACAAAAGAGCATGCAGCTCTAGTTAATATGCAAAGTGCATTGAAATAGTGGCTATACTTTTGATTATGAGAACAAATCATTTTATACTAGATTTTGAATCTTCATTTATGTGGTAATTATTCTGAGCGAATGCTTAAAGGACTTAAATTAAGATAAATTATCAAGATACCACAATGGTAGGTAGACACTGAGGGAAGGTTTTTGAAGGGGTTGAATGGAAGATAAATTCCATGACATATGCTAGATTATATATATTCTTCAATTAAAGAAGATGTGAACCTGAAGTTCAAGAAAGAAGATTATACTAAGATATTGCAAATAAAGTGCTCATCCTGAATTTTATGTGACAACTGTAAACACTTTGGTTAGAAGTGAATTCTTGATATTTTTCTCAACCATAAAAAATGGTCTTATTATAAGGAACCTTTAGTTCCAACATATGAGAACCTGAAGTTCTCCTTCACATGTATTTTATGTACACATGTTCATTTTTTATTAATCCTTCCCTATAAATAAAATGTCAAATCTTCAAAACTTTGAGTTTCTTACTTTTGATATCTCCTGAAGAGAAACAAGTTTGTCCCTTCTCACAATATTTGATTGTTTGATTGTGTGCCTTATATGCCCTCTCCCCCACAATGCATTCAATATAAAGTAGAAGACTGTGCATTAACATTGGCTATAACTCCTTGTCTATTGTTAAAGTAAGTTGAGTGTCAACTTTATGATGAAATATTCCCAGTCTTAGGAGGAGATAAGAATAATGAAAGACTGGTAATACAAGAAATTATATGAAATGCATCATTGTAAATTTTTGACTCCTGAAGTGGTTCATATAATTTTGAAGTCTGATTTGCAAAGAAGAGCAAATGAATTACTAGATGCATTCACATATATTAGCAGAGTGACAAAGTTACGTATACCAGCATCTTAAGCATCGCTCGATTTAAGGTAGTTCCAGAAGTGACTATTGAACAATTTATGTGGGAGAATAATCGGTTTCAAAGATAAGAACCCATGAAAATGAAGATAGCAAAAATGCTATTAGTGAAACCACATACATGATTATGAGTGAATCCCCAGAAGAGGTAATTGTCCTAGAAGAAGACTAATACTATTCCAGAAGAAAATGAAACCCCTGAAGAGGTAAATGTCTTGGAAGAGACTAATATGATTCCAGAAGAATAAGTTTCCTAAAGAAACATCGGTACCGAAAGAAAATGAGATCTCTATTAATTATGTACGAGACTGTACAATATGGAACCAAAATGAAACACGTGTTAATGATATTCTTGCATATACTATGGAAATGGATGTAATCAATAAAAGAGATTACATGCCTAAAACTCAAAGAAGAGTACATGTAAATAGTACATAAATGATTTGCCAAAATGGCAAAAGACCCTGAAGGTCGAATATAAGTCACTCGATAAACGGAATATTTTCAGACCTGAAGTCTGAGCACTCATATACGTCAAACCAATAGGTTTAAAATGGGTGTCTGTAATCAACAGAAATAAAATGAGATTGTGCGATACGAAGTACTACTTGTAAGGCAAGAGTTTTTCCTTAATCCCAGGAGTTGATTGTGAGGAAACGTATTCTCCACTAGTGGATGCAATATCCTTATAGAATTTTAATTGGCATCGCAATCTCAAAAGGACTTCAAATAAATGATATAGATGTCGTTATAACATAATTATAAGGGACACTTGAAATCGACATTTGTGTGATAATAATTCCTGAAGGATTCAAAATGCTAGAAGCAATAAAATTAATACATTGAGATATGTGTGAAGAGATCGTGGAATGGTCTCAAGTAATCTGGTCATATGTGGTACAATTGACCCAGTGAATATCTCGAAAAAGAAAGATACAAATTTGAAATCAACCTATGTGTTGTCATTCAAGGATCGCTCTTAATATTCTTTATTATAGCAGTTTACGTTGACGTATAAATATCATTAGATCTCCTGAAGAGATAGAAAAAACTGTTGAACTCTTGAAGAGAGAATTTGAGAAGGAAGATCTTGACATGACATAAATTATACTTAGGATTGTATTTTAAACACCTATACGACGAGACATTTGTCCATAAGTTAAACTACGTCTAGAAGATGTTAACACGTTGAAATATGGATAAAGCTCGTATTTTGAACATACCCATGGTTGTTCACTCATATATATACATAAACATTCTAATCGCCTCCCAGAAGAGGGCGAAGAAGTACTAGGTCCTGAAGTACCATATTTAAGTGTGAAATTAGACAGGTAATGTGTTCACATATGGTGATGCGGCATTTTCTTGGAAGTCGACTGAGCGAGAACGAACAACAACATTGAATCATGCCAAACTGATAGCATTATACGACAGTGATCGAGAGCGAGCATGGTAGAGATTGATGATCAATCTCATACAAGGAGCATGCAATTTGAAAGAAATCAAGAAGAATGCTACGATTATATATAAAGATAACGCAACATGCATAGCTCAAATCAAGGAAGGCTACATCAAGGGAGACCAAACGAAGCAAATCTCTGCAAAGTTTTCTCAACATCTGATATGCAGAAAGAAGGAGAGATCGATGTTCTTCAAGTTAAATCAAGCAAAATTTGGCAGACTTATTCACCAAATCTCTGCCTAGACACAGTTTTGAGCAACTCAGAAAGAAGATTGGACTTCGCGAGCTAAAAGAGATATATTAGTTTGAGGGGGAGTATATTTTTATTTGAAGGAAAACATTATACACGCTGTACTCTTTTTCCCTTAACTAAGTTTTGTCCCATTGGATTTTCTTAGTAAGGTTTTTAATGAGGCAGCATAACTGATCCTGCAGTATCAGTTAATATAGGTCCCGAAAAACCTAGCCAACATTATCCCGTAGCATAATGTTGTTAGTGTATAATGAAGGATGATATATCTGAGGGGGAGTGTTAAATATAGCAGATATATTACTCTTATTATTTAGAATATCTGGTTACCTTGTTTACCTGGACTTTACCTCCTCCTTGTGTATGTATAAATACCCCGACATATGATGAATAAAGTACTCAGTTCACAACAAATTTATAATAATAACATTAATAACAAAACCCTACAACACCTATACAATTATATACTCCGTACTCCATATTCCGTCCCTTTTTCAATCAGAACCAGAGTCGACGCCGCCTCCTGCTTCTTCTTCTTCGATTGGGACCAGCGCCGCATCCAACCTCCACCTTCGATCAATCGGCAGCAGCGCCAACACCGGGAGACAATTTCCCCCTCGACCCAGAAACTACGGCGACTCTGGCACGGCGGCGACACGCAACGAGATCCGTAGCGGCAAGGCGACGACGTCCTCTGGCGAACGTGGTGACCCCCGGCCTTCTCCTCCGACATGTGCAGCAGCGGCAACCACGGACCTTGGCGACGGTGGTCGTGCGTTGACTGTGGTCACAACATAACGGTGATATGATTTTTCTCGGTGATTTCTGGCGACAACATTCGGCGATGACTCCCTGTTGTTTCCGACGAGTTGGAACGACGATCCAGCCACCCCGACAGCAGCAGGTAACGTTCGGGCAGTGGGTGGTCCCTGCCGGCAACAATTGAACCGGTGAGGGGATTGACCACGATGTTTTCCAGCGAGTTGACTCGGTCAAGGGCGACGGCGTTTCTAGATCTGTCCCACGAGAGTTCCGGGCAGTAGCGGGCACCCGGGCAGCAAGACACAGGACCTAGACAGTGATGTCAGGGCTTCGGTGGTCCTTGGATGATGGCAAGTACGACCGGACAATGGCTTCGGGATGACGACGGTCCTGTTCGAACAAAGTTTCTTTGAATTGAATCGAATCCAATCGAGGTGAGTACGTGGACATATAACACTAGAATATGCATCTAGGCTTGAAATTCTGTTCATAATTATTGTATTATCGTGGTTGACCTATGTGATTTATCCTTATAATTGTTGATTGTGGTTTCGGGAATTATTGTCATTGAATCGGAAAGGGTAGTATGTAGGGGTGTGCACCGGTCCAAAACCGGACCGGACTGGACCGGAACCGGTTAGGACCGGAACCGGAATCAAGCATTTCTTAAGACCGAAGACCACACCTGTTGGTTACCGGTCTGGACCTGAATTTTCCGGTCCGGTCCAGGTTTACCCTATTATGGACCGGATTTGTTACTCCGCAGCCAGGGATTCCGGCGAGAACAAGCAGGCGACTCCGGCGAGAACAAAAAGCAAGGGACGAGAAACGATTCCAGCGGAGGAGGACCTGATTGACGACGAGTTTGCAACGAAGGTGGTGCCGATTAACAAGTTGCAGACTTGCGGCTGTAGGCGATAAAGAGACGCGGACAATTTGTTGTAGCCTGAAGGCTCTGCGCTTGGTTCCGACAGAAAAATGGTTCCGACAGAAAAAAGGTCACAGCTCTGGCTTCATCCTCACGGGTTTGATACTTCGAATAATTGGACTGGGCTTGAAACCTTGGATAGTGGGGATTAGTGGATAGAAATATATGATATGTATAAAAAAATTAAAAATAATATATATATATATATATATATATATATATATATATATATATATATATATATATGGGCGGACCCAGAAGTTTCATGTCGTGGGGTCGCATTTGTGAGATGTTAATGAACACACGACATGTTGTGCATTAAATAAAAAAGTATTTTTTGAAACATTTTGTCTCATTTTTGTTTATAATGTTTCCTATAACATTTTTTATTGAATTTATTTAAATATTGGCTTTGAACATAAATTTAAAAATAATAGATTAAAAATAACATAAAACATTTTATAAAATAAGTTCATAACTAATTTTTAAGAAAATGATAGACGAAAACATGTAACGAAAGAATATCTAAATTGACTCTATAAATAATCGAAAAGACAAATATAACGAAATGGAGTAATTCATAAAATTAATGATTATATTTATTGGAAAAATATTAAAGTGAATTGAAAATAAATAATTGTATTACAATGTGAATATAAATTATAACTTATACGAAGTAACGAGTAGCATCAGCTTTCTATATTTTAAGATTATATTATTATAATATTATCACTAATAGTAACAAATATCTGTCTCATTCCTCTGTCCTAAACTTAATTAAATTATTACTATACTGACAAACTTTCTTTGACTTATGTTTTCATTGATTATTTAATAAAATAAAATATTCTCGTTATATCTTATTTTATAAAAAAATTGCATACTCCCTTCATTCCTTAAAACTCTTCCTCTTTCATTTTTTTCTAATTTCCTAAAACACTTCCTTTTTTCTACGGAGTATTAAAAAACCACTTTTACCCCTATTTTTTTCATACCCTACCTATCACATCATACTTTTTCACTAATAACCAAACTATCACATCTTACTTTTACCATCACATCAAGGCAAAATTAGAAAGTCAATCAAAATTACATTTTTCTTAATTTGGCTAAAAGTCAAAACAAGAACCTTTTTAGGGAATAGAGGGAGTATTTTTTATTATGTAAATTATACTCTGTACTCTCTCTATCTCAGAATATTCATATAGTATGACTTTTTTGTGTCAAATTGGATTAATTTTTATTTCAATACCAATTTGTAAATAAAGTATATGTAAAAAATTATTGATTTTGTACTTGTTTTTAAAAAGTCAAATCATTTATGGGAGAAAATGAATATGAGTAGACAATAAAAGAATGAAACAAAATAAGCAATTAAAAAGTATCGAACAAAAAAAAAGAAAAAGAAGGAAAGCGAAAAGGTGAAAAAAATTGGTCTCTACATGGAGGCTCGAACTCAAAACACATTATATGAGTATCAAAGAGCTAACCACTCCGCCAATTTGTTGAACTACTCGTGGGTGCGTTTCCGTAACAATATTGATGGGATTAACCCGATCAGATGGCGGACCAAGAACGAAATATGAATTAGGAAGATATGATCACTCGATAGTATTCTTTGATTGAGTATTGAACTGTATTGCTGTGACCTGCTTTACAACGGCGGGGTCCTCCCCTTTTATAGTACTTCTAATATTCTAATTAAAATTATACAAAAATGGAGATGGATTATGGAGATCATGGGGTCGTGATTCCCCCTCTTTCCGGTCTCGTTCTCTTCCCATTTCGCTCACAACTTGATGATGTGGGCCATGTGTCCCATTCCTCCCTCGGACTGGATCAACTTGACCTATCCCATGTTTGGGCCGTTTTCCTTGGCTTGCCATATGCGAGATAATGGGCTTGGCCCGTCATCCCCATCTGATCTTATTCCTTTTGGGCTATTACGGGCCTTCATTTGGGCCTGGAGTCGGGTCTACCGGACCCGATATCCATCACAAGCCCCCTAGTTTTCTAGCGACGTGTCGCTAGAAAACTAATGATGAGCCGCCTTCGATCTTCGTGTCGGATTAGAAACGTCGCATTCGAGTACCTCGGGTCCACCCTTTCAACGGATAAAAACCCTCTTCTGGACTCATCTTCTTCTTCTCGCCATTGATCCTTAACCCGACCCGAATTCCGACTGCAATTTCCCCAAAATCCTCGTCTCCTTTTCCGGAATGGCCCCTACGAATCCTGAAACCTGGACCCATGGGCCCTCCATTATCAAGGAGAACGAACTTCGAGAGATGGCCGTGCTCCTGGGCAAGGGCTTCCGGGTCCACCATCCCGATGCCGTTGGGGGGATTAGTTTATCCTACAATCCAAATCCCCAGAAATATATGGTCATGCAGTACCACTCCGTGGAGAACGGATTTAGGTTGCCCCTCCGATCCATGGTCTGCTTCGCGATCTCTGCCTCCACTTCGGATTTGCTCTGGGTCAACTGACCGCTAATGCACACAAGTATGTTGCATCCTTCATCTTGAGGTGTTGTGCCCTGGACAGAGCCCCAAATCTGGAGGAATTCCTTATGCTCTTCAGTATTGGGGGGTTCCCTTTCTACAGCATATACCCCCATAACCACTTTCCCATTTTCGAGAAGGTTGAGCTCAAGATCGACAAATGGTCATTGAAATATTTCGCCATTGAGTTTCCGGCTCACAGCCCCATCGATCTCCCGGGTGTCGCCCTCCGCCGTTCCATCTTTCGGACGAAATTCGCCACAGCAGACTTGGCGGAGGGAGTGTATAACGCCTTGAAGGAGAAGGAGGGTTTAATTTCCCACCACTCTCTTCAAGATGCCCAACTGTACAAGAAGGCAGGTTTTTACTATCCCCTGGGTCCTGACCCGATTCCCTTTGAAGAGGTACCCTCTCCCGAGAGATCGAAGGTCCCTTCTGCTGCAGGGTCTATCCCGGCTGCAAGCCCTTCTGGAAGTCGGTCCCAAGGCGGTTCCACTACTATGGTTGTGCGCGATCCGGCCGCTGCCCTGGACGTTGTTCCTCTCTCCGCCATCCCCGGGCTCAGGAGGCCCACTCCGTCCCAGAAACGGCCACGGGAAGGTGTCTCTGGTGATGATTTCCTTCCCAAAAAGAACAAGGGCGACGGTACTTCTGTTTCGCCTAGCCCCCTGTCCACTTCTTCCGGTACCCAGAATACCACTCCTGCTGCTACATCCGGGGTCTTGGAGTTATCCCACCCGGATAGACTTGATTGTGAGGAGGAAGAGCTTAGGGACCAGTCCGCGCTCAGGAAACCCATAACGCAGCCCCAGATTGAGGTGCCCGGTTCCTCGCCACACGGCGCAAATAGTCCCCAAGTAATGGAGGAAGAAGGGATGAGGCAGAAAGAACCAGAGTCCTCCCCTACGGCAGAGAGGGAGGTTGAAGTGCAGACAGGAACGAAAGTCTCCCACCCGGAGGAGGATGAGGCTGGAGAGCAGAGGGATGCTGAAGCTTCCCCAGAAGTGAGGGAAGAGACTGAGGCACAGCAGACTCAGGAGGAGCAGCGGGAGCCGGAAGAACGACATCCCGCTACTGCCCCCCGACTGTCAATCTCCCCATTCGGCGCAAGTTCACGCCACAGACTTATCCTATTTTTGCATAGAGTTGGGCAGACTTCTCCCATGGTCTGAGATCCTTGCAAGCCTCCCATTGGACCATCCAGGCAAACCTTGAGAGGATGAGGGAATCTGTGCAGGGGCTGCAACTCCCCAATCCCGTCCCGACTTGCTTGCCCTCAATGCTTTGCATCTCATGGAACAGGTACTCTTCGAAATATTTTTATCTCTTTCTGGGTTAGTTCTCTCCCTTGACTTCCCTTCCCTTCTTTTAGGCTCAGCAATCACTCCTTACTTTGACTGAGGAGTACCTGGGTGGAGCATCAGGGAACTTTCGTGCTGTTGTGCTCCTGAGGGAAAGGGAAATGGCTGCCAGGGCCTTGCAACAGAAGGTTGACTCCCTGGAACAACAAGTCCAGATCCTGCAAGGGGAGAGTGCTCGGCTCCAAGCAGATGGCTCAACGGAGCTAGCAGCTGAGAGATCTAAGGTCCAATCCCTACAAGACCAGATTGCTGATTACCACAAGGAGACCCAAGATCTGGAAGTGCAATTTGATAGATTCCGGGCACAGATTTCCATCCTGGAATCCAGGGTCTCGGCCTCAGAAGACCAGGTAGGAAGCCTGAAAGCAGAGTTGGCTGAAAGGGAGTCCAGGATTTCTGCGCTGGAGGATTCCCTCCAGGATGCCAAGCGTGAGAGTTCCCGTTACAATGAATTTGCCCTGAAGCAAATGGAGGCAAGACGGCTCGACCTCGAGAAGTTGAAGGGAGAGAGACAGGCTACAAGTGAACTCCGGTCAAAGGTGGATGAACAAGAAGATGATTGCTGCTCATCAAGAGGAGGTGGCCGCCCTGACTGCCCGTGCCGGAGCCCTCTACGAAGAGGGATAATTTGACATGCAGCAATGCATCTATGGGGCAGTCCAAAGTGGTCTCCCAGAGAACCGCACTTTGGATGACTTCATCTCCTACTATGGGTTACCTCTTCCTCTTCCTCCCCCAGCTTCTCGTGCAGACCCGGGACCGTGACTTTATCCTTCTCTGTTGACTGTTGTATTTTGCCTCGGTATTATTTGGATGATAGTAAACTGATAACACCTAATGTATTTTTGTCCATATGGACTTCTTTAGTAATCTGACTGTTTCCCTTTTGGAATTCTTGTTTCGCCTTAGGACTTAGCAGATTTTTTTATCCGCCTAGGCTTTGGGCTTAACCGCGTTCACAACGTGCTGTTTCTCTTGTTTTCCACTGCGCTAAGTGATTGGCCCACCTTAATTACGCCGGGCCCAATCCACCTTAGCCCAATGATAAGATGGCGAACCCTAACTTTCCTCGGGAATCCGCAACTTCCTCCCAATCGGATAAGCGCTTTGACTCCGCGTCCCTTGCACTTCTCCTTTGGGATCACCCGCCTATTTAAGGGACTAGGCTGAACTTCTCCATCACCACAATCAATTTCTCAACATGGCTAATAACGCCAATAGAGCTATCTTCATTGACATCACCATTTCTGATTCTTCTTCTTCTGATTCTTCTTCGTTGGCATTCCCTTCACTTGGGTCCCCAACGCCTGAGCTCTCTTCCGGGCCTTCTCTTGCCTCTGAACAATCGGTAACTTCTCCCTTTCCCCGAGAAGAGAATACCCCTCATCTCCCCCAACAAGTTTCGGGGAGTGTTCCCCCGGGTCCCAGCGTGCTTCCTAACAGTGCCAGGGCGGAAGTCTCTTTTGGCTGTCCTGGCACTTCTCGTCCGCAGAAGAGACGCAATCCCCACTCAGGAGCTTCCCGGCTGGTCTCTGGTGCGAGGCCTTCTTCTCAGGGTTCCCCTTCCCCTCAGCAGTTGTATGGACAACCATCTGAGGGATGGGGGGACTATGACATGGGGGGAATTAGGCTTCCATTTATACGCAGGGAAAAGGACGGAACCTTCCGGGATCCGCCTCCCCCTGCCGAATAAACGGAGACTGGCCTTGGATCCTTCCCTCATGCCCTACCGTCCTCCTGGCTCGGCTTCAAAGGGACGACCGGATGGTGCCGACGGAGGGGATGCCTTTCCATCCCAACCCGTTGGTTCCGTTTCGTATCTTTTGAATGTCATGAAGGGAGACCGGTGGGCACCCTCATGGGAACGACTGGATGGTATCCACGGGGTTGGCTTTAGATCCCCACACGTTGGCACCATTCTAGTTCTTGTGAATGTCATGAAGTGTCTTCGGCGGACACTCTCCATGCCCTCCAGCTCCGGGGTCCTTTTCCGGTTCAGGCAAGGAAACAAGGGTCAGCGAATACACTCCAGAAGTATCGATCCGCCTTGCCTTCAATTTTTTTATTATTTTTCTTTTTTGCGGTAGGATAGAAGTAGATCAGGGACAAAGTTCATTACTGTAACCCAAAAGAATGTTATCTTCTGTTTGAGTTATTTAATGAAAATCTTTATCTCCCGTCTCTTTTTCTATCTCGTTATTTGATCAGGGATAAGGCCCATTACTGTTACCCAAAAGAATGTAATCTTCTGTTTGAGCTATTTAATAGAAAAACCTTTATCTCCTGTCATTTAATATAATTTTGTTGCACGTGCCGTCATCTGCATCGAGTAGAAGTCTAAGTCTATTTAACTCCTTACCTTCCAAGGATGACGTCTTTTCCAAAGCACAAATGGGCCCAATTAACTAGCCCATGCACTTTAGTGGCGAGAAACTCTTAGTCAAACTTTGGGAAAGCTTTGACTGCTTCCTTCACCAATCGCTTAGTCCTTCACGCCTTTTGATTGCATCTATTAATTCCCAACTATCCCTTCCCCTTTGACTATAAAATGGGAAAAGGCAATTAGCGGCCCGTCCATCACTTTCTGACTTCTTCGCCATGGCAAGCAAGTCTGAGGGCAAAGTCATCATCGACCTAACCCACTCCGGAATATCTTCTTCTTCAGATGATGACTTCTCCACCTCCCCAGCCCAATCCAACGACATGGCCGGGTTGAGTCCCGGCGAGTTCTCGAGGCTTTATCCGGCGCCCCGCCTTCCTGCACCATCTCCTCCCAGTCCACCCAGGCTTCCCTCCGGGAAGATAGACTGGGACTCCATGACTCTCCAGGACTTCGCCTTGTACAGAGGATGTGCAGGGCTAAGCTTGGACGCTCTTTGCTAATTGTTGAAGCGGAACCTTCATGCGAAAGCCGGACTGCTTCTCCAAACCTGCTGAAGCCCCCCAACAATGGTTCTTCTTTGAAGGGAACAGCACCTCGCCCTGGGACATGGGAAGATTATGACATATGGGAAACCGCCGATTCATCAACGTGTCCCTCGTCAAAGAGAAGGAGCCCATGGAAGGGTCCCCCACCACCTTCTTGTTGACTGCATGGATGCAATAGGCCCTCCTTCAGTTCCTAGCCTCCTGCAAATCGAATTTCTTTTCCTTGTTTTGTATCAAGGGGCATTCACTTACTCGGTCCAGAGGTTTTCCCCTCATCCCAAACTAAGGAATGTTCCTTAATTTTGAAGTAGGAATCATCATTGTAATTCAAAGATATACCCTCCAAATTAGCAATCGATAACTCCCTTAGTTTCTTTTCTTGTTTATTTCACTAGGAACCTTTATTGTGAACCAAAAAATGTAAACTTTGGCCCACCAATATGGTCCTTAATGATCATTTCTTTGCACCTCTTTAAATGCAAGTACATAATTCATTCTCTATATTAAATCTCATTTTCCCGAGGTTTGGGCATGCCCGGGGCACTTATCGCATCTGCCCCAGACCTCCCCTTCCTCCGGGTTAAGGCATTATCTTATCTACCTTGGATCAGTCGAGCTCCAACCCTCGAAGTTTGTTTGCCCGGTTGATCTATGCTAGTGGAATACTAAGCTTTAGCCCTCGAAGTCTGCTTGCTATTCTTCCTGAATTCCGGGTTGTAGTGGCTCTCGAAGTCCAATCCCAACCCTTCCTTCATTTTTGACGGAGGCATAAACTTCTCTACCTCCGGGGGGGCATAAACTTATCTACCTCCCCTATTTTTAGCAGGTGGCATAAACTTTTCAACCTCCCTGTAAAGCGGGTCTATATAGCCCGGGGGTGCTTCCCCCCCCCTTTTTTTTTTAAGAAACCTATAGAACAATGAAATTGCAAAGGCACTTGGCTATAGAAGAATTTGATTGAAACAAACATTTTAAATTAAGAATAGAGCATTTTTACAAAATGATTCACTGATAAAATCTGACCAAGTGCTCTACATTCCATGTCCTATCAATTTCTTTCCCCTTAGGAGTCACCAACTTGTAGGTACCTGGGCGAACAACGGCCTTGATGATATAAGGTCCTTCATATTTCTTAGCCAGCTTCCCACCCTTAGTTGGTTGACTTTTCTCTCGTTTCCTCAGGACGTAATCTCTCACCTGGAACGCCCTTGGTTTCACCTTGCTATCAAAGTAAGATTTCACCTGGCGACGATAATTCTCTGCCCGGATACGTGCTTCATCCCTTCGTTCTTCTACGAAATTCAGCTCTACGGCCTGGTTCTGTTCGTTCACCTCCGGGTCATATTCCATTTCTCTCCTGGTAGGGATTACTACTTCAGCGGGAGCCCGGGCTTCAAAACCATAAGCCAAACCAAAAGGAGTGTCACCCGTGGCTCTCCTTGGAGTCGTCCTGTATGTCCACAGGATTCTGGGTAGTTCTCTATGATTGTTCTGTTGACGTTCTCCACTTGTCCATTAGCTTGAGGATACGCAACAGACACCTTCGTGTGTTGAATTCCCCAAGTTTTGAGAAAGTCTTGAAATTCTGCTTCCTCAAACTGGGTTCCATTGTCTGATATGATCTGCTTAGGGACCCCGAACCTGCAGAGTATATTGGTTCCGACGAAGTCAATCATCTGCCTTCCGGTGATCCCTGCAAGTGGCTCAGCTTCCACCCACTTTGTGAAATAGTCTATCGCAACCACAATCCACCTTGCTTGCCCTGCCCCTTTTGGCAGGGCTCCCACAAGATCGATCCCCCATCTTGAAAAGGGGATTACGGAGCTGATGGGCGTGTAATTCGTGGCTGGCCTCCCGGGCATATTCTGGAATTGTTGGCAGGTTGGGCACTTGCGTACATATTCTTCGCAATCCTTCCTCATTGTCGGCCAGAAGTATCCCTGGATGATAGCCCTTCTAGAAATGGAGTAAGGACCCTGATGTGCAGCACATACTCCTTCATGTATCTCCTCCATCAGTGCCTTTGCCTCCACTGCCCGGAGGCAATGGAGTAAGACACTGTTGTAGGATCGCTTATAGAGGATTCCATCCAGTACCTTGTAGGTAGGTGCCCTCATTCGCAGTAGACGTGCTTCTTGGGGATCCTCCGGGGCCTCAGCGTCCTCAATGTATTTGGCCAACCGGTCCAGCCATTCCGGGGGATCGGCTGATACCCAGGTCACTTTACTGTTGCTAAGACTCGAGGTTACCAGCTCTTCGACGGTTCCTAACTTGCTTATGTATTCCGGTGACTCTGCGCTGAGCTTGGAGAGAACATCAGCCTCCGCATTCTGGGCTCGGGGAATATGTTCAAGCTTAAACTCAAACTTTCCCAACACCTCCAGGGTCAAGTCCCGGTACCTTTTCATCCTCTCTTCCTTTGCTTCAAATTCCCCCGTGATTTGTCCCACAACTAATCGGGAGTCGGTGTACACCTGAACCCTGGATACTCCCATCTTACGCAGAATTTTCAAACCATTGATCAGGGCCTCATACTCAGCTTCATTGTTGGACACACGAAACTGAAATCTGATAGCGTAATAAATCCGGAATTTTTCGGGGGTGATCAAGACCCAGAAGATCCATCGATGCTCATTATCCACCAGTCCTTTTCTACCCGGGTTTCAGCCTGGGCTCTTGTCACTTCTCTAGCGGTGCACTCGACTTGAAAGTCGGCGAGTGCTTGCCCCTTGATGGATGGGCGCGGCCTGAATTCCACGTTGTATTGACTAATAAAGACCGCCCACTTGGTCATCCGGGCAGAAGCCGCCGGGCTTCGGGTAAGTGATGCCAAAGGCTCATTGGTGAGCACAATAATCCGGTGAGCCTGAAAGTACGGGGTTAATCTCTTCGCTGTCCAGAAGACCGCCAACATAGCTTTCTCCGGACGGGAATACCTTAATTCCGCATCTCTTAGGGTCTTGCTGATGTAATAGACCGGATGTTGGGCCCCACGCTCTTCTCTTACGATCACAGTACTTATAGCACAGTCTGCAATCGCCAAATATAAAGTCAGAATATCCCCAGGTTCCGGCTTGGATAAAACCGGCGGACTTGTGAGATATCTCTTCAATTCTTCAAATGCTTCCTGACATTCCTGTGTCCATTCGAAGGTCGCCTTCTTCTTGATCACCGCAAAGAATGGGTGCGCCTTCTCTGCCAGTTTCGAAAGGAAACGGTTCAAGGCTGCCAACCTTCCTGTTAGCCGCTGAACTTCCTTCGTTGTTTTTGGGGGTTCCATCTCCATGATGGCTCTAACTTTCTCCGGATTTGCCTCAATTTCTTTCCGGCTTACCATGTGCCCAAGGAATTTCCCACCTTGAACAGCAAAAGTACATTTCTTCGGGTTCAATCTCAGATTCACCTTCATCATGATTTCAAAGACCTCCTCAAGGTCTCGGACATGGTCTCGGGCCTCTTTGGACTTGACAGTCATATCATCGACATACGCCTCCATGGTCCGCCCTAAGACAGTCTTGAACACCTGAGAAACCATCCGGGTATATGTTGCCCCGGAATTTCTCAATCCAAAAGCCATCACTAGGTAACAGTACAGCCCTTCTGGGGTCATAAAGCTTGTCTTCCCAGCATCGGCCAGATGCATCTGAATCTGGTGGTAGCCACTGAAAGCGTCCATAAAGCTCATTAGCTCTGACCCAGCAGTTTCATCCACCATCTGATCGATATTGGGGAGAGAAAACGGATCCATGGGACATGCCTTGTTCAAATCTGTGTAGTCGACGCACATCCTCCATGAAGGTGGCTTGGGTGCTAGGACTACATTCGCCAACCAATCCGGGTATTGTACCTCTCGGATATGCCCAATGCTCTGCAGGGTTGCTACCTCCTTCTTCACGAAATCTCTTCTCTCCTGCGACAAATGTCTTCGTTTCTGCTTCACCGGTTTGGCATCCGGCAGAACATTTAGGCGATGAACTGCAATCTTGTGATCCAGTCCTGGCATATCAGCTGGACTCCATGCAAAGACCCTTCTGAACCTCCTGAGGACTGAAATCACTCGTGACCTGAGTTCAGCCCCCAGCCCCTTACCAATCCTGACAAACCTTCCCGGCGTGCCTGGCTCCAGTTCCACCTCTTCAATGTCGCCGGCAACTTCTACTCTGGGACGTTTTTCCTCTGCCCTCAAGAGCTGCGCAGTTACTTCTCCTACTTGGGTATCATACTTGACCGGCTGTTTGGTTGCCTTCAAATACCATGCCCGGGATACTCTCTGAGATCCCCTGGCAACTCCAACTCCATGGGGGGTTGGGAATTTTATGCACAGGTGACAAGGTGAAATAACACACTCCAAATCTTCCAATCCGGGTCGGCCCAAGATAATGTTCGTGTTGGAGATTATCCCCACCATGACAAACTCCATGTCCAGCTTCCGGGTTGCCTTAGTATCCCCTATCTCAAACGGGAGGGTTATTACCCCCTCCGGCTCAATAGAGTCACCAGTGAACCCAGTTAGTGGAGTCTTGATGGGTGATAATTCATCTCTTGTCAAACCGAGAGCCTTGTACGTATCCATATACATAATATTAACGGAGCGTCCCGTATCCACAAGGGTTTTGTGGATCAGTAAATCCATTATATCCAATAGGCTCGGTTTTCAACTTCTTACCTTCTGGGACCAGCACCTTGTTGACCACTGCCGCGTTAGCCCACTTCTTCCGGCTAGTGGCCGAGTCCCCACCAGTATTCCCTCCAATGATGAAATTACACCCGTGGTGTCTCTTCTGGCGATGCGGTGCGGGTTCCGAATCCTCCTCTTCGTCGTCAAGCCCGATGTGGTGTTTCTCCTGGGCCTCAACTTGGGCCACTTCTTTATCTCTGCGTTTCCCGTTCTGAGCATTTCCGGGATTCCCGGTGTCACCATCTTGTACAAATTTCTTCAAATGACCCCGGCGGATCAGCCTTGCCATCTCATTCTTCAGAGTGTAGCAATCTTCCGTGTTGTGATCCTTCTTGCGATGGTAGGCACACCATTTTCCAGTGTCTTCCACATTGCAGACCTTCTGAGAATAGGTAGGGTAAGTCATAAGTCCCTGCTGTGCAGCATGGGCCATGACCTCAGTCACTGGCAATGTGAAGACCGGGTTAGCAGATTTATGCTTCACCGAGGTCCCAAGACTTGCACCCTTTGGGCCGTCCGGGAAGCCTTGCTTCTTATTCTTGAATGGCTTCTTATTCCCCGTCTTCTCTTCTTCTTTAGGAGTCTTCTCCTTCTTCTCCTCCTTTCTTTCTTCCAGGGTCACGTACCTCACTGCCCGGACCATCGCTTCTTCAAAGGTATCCGGGGGATGAGTAGTGAGATCGGTGTGAAGGAGTCCATCCTGTAATGCCGCCGTGAACATAGCCAACCTGGATTTATCATCAGTTCCTTCAACCTCCCTGGACTCTTTCCTCCATCGGATAAGGAAATTCTTCAAGGATTCACCATGCTTCTGTCGCACTGATGCCAAGTGAGTGAAATGCTTCTTAGGACGGCAGTTCCCGGCAAAATGCTCTAGGAACCGTAGTCCCAATTCATCCCATGTTCGGATTGATCCAGCAGGGATATGGTTGACCCAGTCTGCAACCTTGCTATCAACGGTCTGCAAGAAGCACCGACACATGAGTGCGTCACTGGCGTCCACGGCGATCATCACTTGGACATAGCTATTTATGTGCTCTTGGGGGTCTGACTCGCCGTCATAACGCTTGACAAATGGAATTTTGAATCCCTGCGGATTTGGTTTCGCAAAGATCTCCGGAGCCAAGGGAGTAATCGTTCGGGTAGTGAATTTTCGACCCTTATTTATCTTCCTCTGCATCTCCTGGATCTGCTGTCTCAGGTCTTGAAATTCACCAGCTTCCGGCACCAGCGGTCCCAGTCGCCGTGGTGCTGGGACCCTGGCTTGGCTTTGAACTTCGTCCTCCTCCAGGTTCCGTAATGACCGGACCGGCACTTGGCTCGCGCCTCGGTCGTTTCGCTGCCGGGGTTCGCGATTGGAAGATGCCACCTGGCTGGCCTGGGGTCGTATCCAACCCTGAGGTGCCTTTTCCGGATTCTTCCCCAGCCTCTCACTAACGTGAGCTTTCTGGCGAGATATCCTTTCAAAGACAGATCCCCGCGGGTTTTCGTGTCCATCGCCGAAGATCCGGCTTGGATCCTTAGCCTGGCCTTCGTTCACCTTGTTATTTCGGGCCAATTCCTCCGCCCGGCGTCTGTCAATGGCTCGCCTTTCCCTTTCAACCTCCTCCGGATCATGGAGCTCCTGTAGGATAGGAGAACTCGCAGTACGCAGGACCTGGCGGGGTTGCCCGATAGGGATATCCCGGGTTCCGGATGGACCTGGAAGAGCCTTATCCAATCACTCCATAATGTTGGCCATCATGTTAGCCACATTATTTAGCGTCGTTTCCAACTCATTGACAGGAACAATCATACCCTGTTCAGGGTTGTCACTTCTCACCGTCGACTGGGCAGAAGTAGCAGGGTTACGTCTCGTCCTTCGTCCGGCCATAATCTCACAGCCTTATCTCTCAGTTTCTCTCAATGAGAGCACCAATGATGGGATTAACCCGATGAGATGGCGGACCACGAACGAAATATGAATTAGGAAGATATGATCACTCGATAGTATTCTTTGATTGAGTATTGAACTGTATTGCTGTGACCTGCTTTACAACGGCGGGGTCCTCCCCTTTTATACTACTTCTAATATTCTAATTAAAATTATACAAAAATGGAGATGGATTATGGAGATCATGGGGTCGTGATTCCCCCTCTTTCCGGTCTCGTTCTCTTCCCATTTCACTCACAACTTGATGATGTGGGCCACGTGTCCCATTCCTCCCTCGGACTGGATCAACTTGACCTATCCCATGTTTGGGCCGTTTTCCTTGGTTTGCCATATGCGAGATAATGGGCTTGGCCCGTCATCCCCATCTGATCTTATTCCTTTTGGGCTATTACGGGCCTTCATTTGGGCCTGGAGTCGGGTCTACCGGACCCGATATCCATCAAATATATAATATATATACACCTAAATATATATATATATACAAATATTTAAAAAAATTACTCGTACAAAATTTCCGTGGGGTCGTGTGACCCCGTGTGATCCAATGTGGGTCCGCCCCTGGGCGGACCCACATTGGGTCACAAGGGGTCAAGCGACCCCACAGAAATTTTAAATTTTTTTAGTATATATTTGCATATATGTAATTTTTTTTAGTGTATACCTAGGTTTAGTATATATTTAATAAAACGCAACTTCCACACGCTAGCGCTGAAGGAGTGGAAAGATTCGCGGATTTTGATCGGGTAGGTGATCTTGTGTTCAAAACCAGGTTTGGTGGGGGGGACTCTATATTTAATTTTTTGAAGATTGATACTCCGTATCTAAAAAGTGTGTCATTTTATTTCTTCTTTTTTCTTTTCTTCAATTTTCTCTTAAACCTATATTTCCAATCCACCCATCCCACTTCGGCACTTTCCTAGACCTAATTGCAATCAGAAGTTGAGACTGACCCAACCTCTCTCGCTGATGGCTAACTACAAACCTCCGTCGGACCTCCGACCGCTACTTGGAAGTTAGAACCGACGAGGAGTCGAGGACCCCCAAGGCCCCAATTTTTCGAACAAATCTTCTCTTTGCCAGGTTTTTTCTATTACACAATTGAATCTAATTATATAAATTGGATATTACTTTTTTATTTGTAGATTGTGAAATTTTGATTAATTGTTATAAATTTATTATTGTGAATAGTAGAATAGGGAATTGAATTCGTTT